ACTGACATCTTTCAATATTTTAATTCACATAATACCTAAGTATTATTTAATCAATAATTCATTAGTTGTATGAAAATGATGTTATCATTATATTTATATTTATTTATTTCAGTTTGTACCTACTATTAGCATTAATTTTAATTATTTTAACCATATTAAAAAAAATTAGTATAATTATATTAAAAAAATGTGAGACCAACTATGTTTTGTTTTTACTTTTTATTTTTTAACGAGGCAAGTGTACTTTAACTTAAAATAAATGGCAACAAAAAGACCTCATTTTTTATGAGCCTTACTCTAAATTCTCTCTTATTGCATATAATCCTAGGACATCTGTTTGCAGGCTGGACAGTGATAAAGTGGTTCATTGAACCAAAACAGCACCTAGATTACAAGTGTTGAATGTGTGATACATGCTTGACTTGAGCCCCACTCTAACCTCTATGCAGACAACCCTAGCATAAACACTTGAACCGAAAAGCAAGTCAAACAAACTTAGGACAACTAGATATGGGTAGTTTGGTGTTAGTTTATATATATATTTTTTATAATATTTTTTTTAAGCCTTTGTATGTAATTTCTATTTATAATTTATTAGGTAAAATTTTTTTAAATAAATTTAAAAATTTTGATTATTTAAAAGTTACGAGTAAGGTACTTTTAGCTTAGAATAAATTATACCAAACAGATCTATTATATACAAAGATGAAAGTATATCTCAGGTATGACCAGCATACAAGGGCAGAGGCACAGCCGGGCCAGGGTGTCACATGTCCCCCCTCAGTTTTGAAATTTATTTTATTTTATTCTTTGTTATTGTCATGTATGAAATGTATGCTTTTTCTTGTTAAGTCCTTCTTTAACTTTTTTTTGTTTTAAAAAATCGTGAGGCCAAGGGGTTGGTTGTATGGATGCAAGTAGCAGTAGTAGGAGTATTTTGTACTTTCCGAATCTCTCTCGATGAATGTCATCTTTCTGTACTTTTAATTTCATGCTGTTAATGAAATTTTTCTTTACTGATCAAAAAAAAATGTATAAAATGTATTCTCTTTTTTCTTAATATGTTCTTTAGCCAAGAGTTTATTGTATTGTTCACAACAAATAGTTATTTGATACTTTAGGACCACTATGTGATATTGTTTATGCAGTAGTTTAAATCAATAGTGTAGCAAAAAATATTATAGATCAGATATAATGAACTCACTATTTTCAACTAATTGACATACCACGTAGTGTAATTTGTGATTTTCAATGCTTTGAGTATTACGTAGACAACACCATATGGTACTCTAAAACTGTTTAATAATTTTCATTCAAAACACATCATTTATAAGCAATGCCATCTCTTTAATATTTTTCTGTCAAATAAAAATTAAATAGATTTTATAATAATTTGTACTATAAATGATGTGTTTTTATTTTTTTAAATTAGGAATTTTGATCCATAATTTTTTGTACTAAAATTGCAAACTTACATTATCATCCCACACCGAGCTATTCCACACTATTATAGAATTTTGATTTGTTGTTATTAATAATGAATATGTAATTTTTTATGTTTAAATTTATCTCATAAAATTATTATTATCTTAATATTGCTTATGATTTTTTTTTTTCAAATAAAAAATTATAATTAATAAGTACCTATCTAACTTAATTTCCTGACACCACCACTGCCAGTATATAATGGTTCTTTTTTTTTATTTTAATTTTATATTACATCTTGTGTTGTTACCTTTGTTTACTACTTATACAATAAAAATAAAAATAATTTAAATGAGCTGAACCAAATTAATTATAGTGAAAATATAAAATGAATAATTATTGTAGGAACCATTTTACTATGTTTTCTTATTACAACTATGCAATGGTAATAATTAAAAAGGTGATTGACCCATAAATTCCAAAAGGTAAACTTGTGGATCAATCCGTTCCAACTTTATTTTAATGCATACGGAAGTCTCATTGAATGGGAATTAGTTTCAACTTTATTTTAATGAATGCAAAAGTCCCATTGAATGGGAATTGATACATTTGCCATGTGGTTTATTGTATTAGTTACGTTTGAAAAATACTCTAGTCATATTTTACATTTGAAAAAAGTACTAGCCACGTTTAGATAAAGTATAGTAAGTTTTGGAAAATACACTAGTCACGTATACACTTTATTAGCCACGTTTGGAAAATGTAACTCATTTCAAAAATAAAAATAAAAATGAGGCCAACAATCAATAAGGGCAAAAATTCTTAATGTGATACAATAATATATTAATTACGATCTCATAGAAAATGTTTCCAAATGAACATGATCTATCGGTCTATTAAAAAAAAAAGACTTCATGATATATAGATTTCTAAAGTGGAATTTTCAAGTAATGTTCCCTAATTAAAATCAACTACAAAAAGTTGATTAAATTGGAAGAAGAATGTTTCTAAATTCTATTTATAAATTAACAACTTTAAATAAAAATAAACTGTAACAAACACACATCATATGGTGAGCCCCACACTAAGTTCTTATTGTAAATGATATTAGCTAAGAATATCTCCAACCCAATATGATTTTTTTTTTTTTAAAAAAAATTCAAAAAGTGAAATAGAATATCTCACTATATATTCACTCAAACTCTAACTATAAATTCTCATTTTCTTCTCTAAATATTTTTCTCTAAAATAAACCATTCATTTTTCCTCCCATCAATTTTTCTTTAATCCATTTCCCTTACCAGCTATTCTTTTATAAAAAATAGAACCCACCTATAGTAAAAAAAATTCACACTCACAACAGATTATGTAAATTTTTGTTCAATAATAAATGTTTAATTTTTAAAATTTTGTTAGATATATTTAATATTAGACTCATTTTAAAAGTATAATTTTAATCTTTTGAATGAAATCAAATTATAAAAATTAGATGTTCATATTAAAAGTTATTTGTCTTTTATAATATACAAATATATATATATATATATATATAGAAGAATATAATTGGTATATAAATTTGAAAGGAGAAGGTCATGAGGATAAATTTAGTATTTTAAAAAAATGACTAGTGTTATCGTATATCTTCTATTTTTCATACTTCCTCTATATCTAGATAATTTTTAGATGATAGGTTAAAGTGAATAATCCTTCATATTTAAAGATATAGAGTGTGAATCATGGTTCTAAATCTTGTTTTCTCCCTTTTCTCTTCGTTGGTGTTTTGATGTTTGTGTGTGTACATCTTGTACCTTTTATCAACATCAATAAAGTTTCCTTTCTTTGTCGTTTCAAAAAAAAAATAAAAAAAAATCATGGTTCTAAATCGCAGTATCGGATAACATAATGATATCGATCGCGGAGTATCGGTATCGATAGTATCGGTTGATACGTATCGGAAAATGAGTGTCGCGGTTGTGTAATTTTAAAAATCATTCCACAGGTTTTTCAACTTTTTCTTTCTGGTACTGGTCTGAACCAGTGAGCATCATCTCGTCGCAGCTTATATAATGATTATAGACCGCTACGTATTGGGACTCGGCTGATTCTCTTGTGATTTTCGATCTTAGCGCCATAATGACCTGTATCCGTCTCTGCGCTTCATTTTCTCGATTCGAACTGGCCGGTACATAGCGTATCGGTTAATTTTTAGAACTATAGTGTGAATTGGATGTACTCCAACACTGTTTCCAATCTTTCACCAAAAATTTCATTTAATTTGATTTTAAATTTGAATAAAAAGTGAGAGTCAATGTGAACTACTCCAATCATCTCATTAAATTTTTATCCAAACATTTTTAAAAAATTTCATTTATCCCAAATTTTTCTTTTCATCAAATTTGATAAGAAAAGCTCATCTCCGATACTTTATCTTTTTAAATTTTTTAACGAAGGATTTGATGAATTCTCCCTTAGATGAAAAATATGACTCCCCTTGATTTGATGAATATTTAATGAAAAGATTGAAGATGAATTTTGGGTACTTTTCTATCAAATTTAATAATAAAAAAGGATTGAGTTTCTTTTTTGTTGGGATCTTAACATGAGAGAACTTGAAGTATCCGTGGAACCCACCATAAGTTCTGTTTCAATAATCTGAACTATTTACTTTTTAAAAATTGTCGAGTAAAATATTCATGTAAAAAACTAAAATGGTCGGATATCGGTAGCTATATATTTTAATCAAATTTATATTACAAAAAGTAGATGGTTATTTTTAAAATTATATTTATATCTTTTTAAAACAACAATGATTCAAATATATAACTACCAATGTCTCATCATTTTGATTTTTTGCATGAATATTTTACAATGAGTTTTAAAAAATGAATGGTTCAAATTATCGAAATTGATTCTATATCAATATCGAGAGTATTACATGATATGTATCAAGAATCAGTTGTCACGGTCGTAAAATTTTAAAACTCATTAACAGGGTATAACGGGGATATATTGGCTTGTAACGGAATATCGTGGCATGTATTGAGATCTAGCGGTTCACCGTATTGGTTATGATTCAATACATAACAAGAATTGATTGATACAGTTGCGAAATCGGTTTACACTACAATATCAAGGTGTAATAGTATCGGCCTGTATGTAACAGCCTGTATTTAGAACTATGCTCTAACTGCAGCCTAAGTAATTTTTTTTAACCAATTTCTTAGAAATTAATTATAAATATAAAAAAAATTAAATTAAGTTGAACATATATTGTCTAACAACACATAAGAAATAGTTTACAATAAAATAACCAAACAAATCAACACAAAAAAAAAAAAAAAAAAATCCTTTACAAAGTAATTTTAATTTTTGTCTTTAATAAACCTTCTAACCTTTCAATAGAAATCTACAACAATACCCAAAGATCAAATGATTTCCAAATGATGAAAAAAAAATAATAATAATAATAAGAGTAACGTTAGCTATTTTGAAACAAATATCATGAAAAGTATTATAAAAAAATTTTATCGTTAAATTACATATATAATAAAATACCATATATTAATCAAAGAATAAATTTTTTTCTAAAATACTTCATAATATTTCTTTCATACTTAACATCACTCAAAAAACAAAAACAAAAACAAAAACAAAAAACAAAATTAACCCGTATTTGCCAATGAACCCACAAAAACAAGGTCCTAAATGAAAAATAAAAAAATTTTATCGTTAAATTACATACATAATAAAACACCATACATTAATCAAAGAATAAATTTTTTTCTAAAATACTTCATAATATTTCTTTCATACTTAACATCACTCAAAAAACAAAAACAAAAACAAAAACAAAAAACAAAATTAACCCGTATTTGCCAATGAACCCACAAAAACAAGGTCCTAAATGAAAATGGGGTTTCCTCTTCTGCCTATATATGTAACACTAATAAAACAGTGTAAAATGGTGGTTTGATTTGAATTAGGTGACTGTGTGATTGATGGTCACAAGATTCCTCATTGGACATTCGTGTAACAAGATGATTGGCCAATCTAGAGGTTGTAACTTCGATGTGTGGTTTCAGAGTGTCATTGGAATAAGGGTTTTAAAAACAGACTGATCATCTTCTTGTTACACGTGTACAAATCTCATGTCACTCTTATGGGAAAAATATCATATCCGAGGTGATGGTATCATTTTCCCAGAAGCACATTGTCATTACCTCTCTGCAACTCTGCAAACAAGAAAAACATCTTATACTTGAAGCAAAAAAAGAAAGAAACCCTAAAAATAAAACCCAGAGAGAGAGAGAGATACCAGTGGAGATGAAGAAGAAGATAGAGTTACCTGGTTCACAACCTGAGAGTGTAGAGGAGCTGCAATCATCTTTGCCAAAAATTACAATGCTGCTGCCCCCGTCTTCTTTCTGATTTCTACTAAAATGACGATAATACCCTTGACATAATTATAGTGGAGTATTGCAAATTAAAGCCATACATACCATTGAGTTGGTTGGCTATGTAGAAAGTTTTAGGTTCCAATGCTAAGAGATTGACAACTGTAAAATTAATTTCTTTACCCATTTCTTCTTGAGATCACCGTAAGACTTGGACAAAATAATTATATGTATGTATGTATATAAGACATGAGATTACATGTATTCTGACATTAATTAGGGCAAAATGTCAAACACCCTTATTAGACAATTTATTAAGTAAAAAAATTGGAGATCAAAACTCAGTTATTATGAGTTTGAATATCTTGCTCCAATATAAAAGTAAAAAATGGCATATATACCATAACATGAAAACCATAGAAAATCATGTACACCATAACATGAAATATGCATGGCTCCTCATACGCCATCCACGGAGGCCATCGATGCTCCGGTGGGCTCTACAAATGGCATACAGGGAGCCAGGCATATATATATATAAACCCTATGTTTAACTTGTATGCAATGTGTGTGTATGGTAATGTGAATGATTGCATATAGTACTACAAAAGTGCATTGGAATCATAATGAAGAAGATGAAGAATGATACAATGAAGGTGTTAAGAGGTGAGGATGGTGTTTATCATTCAGGTGGGTAGAGCGAGAGAGAGAGAGAGGGAGAGGGAGATCTATGGAGGATCAAAATGGGTCCTAAAGAAATGTATGTGTGTATAAGCCCCACAGGGGGCTTCTTCTTCTTTATCTCCTAAAAAGAAACCAAAAACCCATATGAATTGGCACAAAACAAGCATGGCCATGGGGCTGATATAAATAAATATATGAAAATGGAATGGTCTTTCATTTTTCTTTCTTCTAATCTTGGTGGGTGGGGTTCTTTTTTGAGAGAGGGAAAGAAGCAAGATGTGGGGTTGGAGTTGCACCCCAATCTGCCCACTAAATATAGACAATCCCACAAGAGAGAGAGAGAGAGGGGTTGGGTTAGGAACCACGCAATTTCCTAAGCTCTCTCTCTTATGGTGGTTTGGTTTTGAAATCTACTTTTTCTGGGTCGTAAAGCAAACGTTGCTTTTCTCTTCTGGAGCTTGTTTGTCTGGGAGTGTTTGGAATACTTGGATTCCTCATCTCCTCTGTCTCTCTGTATCTGTCTCTCTCTCTCTACAGTACCCCGATGACTAAATAAAGCAAAAAAAGAATAAAGAACAAAAGAAAAAAAAAACATTATTTTATCTTCTTTTCCAATTCCCCCATCACTTCTTTTCTTTCTCTCTCTTTCTTTATCTTTCTTTCTTTCTTTTTCTCGATTCATTCTCCCTCGGAAAATTATATTTATATATATATATATATATAATCAGCTTCTCTCTAGTTTCGTTTTGCAACTGGAGCATGATGTTAGGCTTCCGTAGCCTACCACGAAATTCACATCAATGTTTCAAATTATTTAATATATAAAATTCATCAAATATTTTATTTTTATAAAAAAAATATATTAATCGAGTATCAATAGTCTCTTGATCATATTACATTTCAGTCAATAATTTATTTTTAAAATCATAGTTGTCGTTGACACAAATTTAATATGATAAATTGACTATCGATATCCGATCAACGTGATTTTTTAAAGAGATAAAATACTCAATCAGTCCAAAACATTGAATAATTCATATTATCAATGCAGACTTCGTGGGCACAATAACACGTTCCAGTCCGATTTCAGACTGAAGAGAAGCATGGGCCAAAAACAAAACCGCACTATTTATATATATAATAAATAAAAAAAACCCTTAAAATTTTCATTTTACCAATTTAAATTCTAAATTTTGATTTGCTTTAAATCTAAAGAATGTATCTATTTCATTAAGTAAAATTAATAGAAAAATTGATATTGTAAACATTAAACTCAATGAAAATGGTATTTTAAATATTTTATGCATATTTTAATGAATAAAATACTATTTTTTATTCAATTTTATTAAATAAAAATAGACAAATGATTTAGATTAAAAATAAATCAAAAGTTTAGTATTTAAATTAATAAATTTAAAAATTTAAGATTTATTTTATTAGAAGACTCAAATCTTGAGTTTTTTCTGGAGAATTTTTTTTTTAAGGTCTCTGATATTAAGATTTTATAAGATAAATAACAAATAATATTTTCATAGTAGTTAAGGTACCTTAATATTTTCACAAAGAAAATTCAACTTAGAGAAATTTTGCCTGACTAAGAGAAATTTCGACCCCGACATAGAGAAATTTTAATTTTAACAGAGAAATTCTTTGATATGATCATAGAAAAATGTTGAAAATTTTTTGGTATGATTACAAAGAAATTTTATTGAGGGACCTTAGCTAATAAAAAAAATATCTTAGATCTCTCCTACTACACAAAGTTGGGGAGAGATGTTTCACTAATTTTCTCTTTCTCTCTTTTTCTTTTTCTTTTTCTTTTTTATTTTTATTTATTTATTTTTTGTTGTTGTAATTTTTCCTTCCTTCCTTCTTTCTTTCTTTCTTTCTTTCTTTATGCTTACAAAAATAAATTTAATGGAGTTGTTTGTTGAAACAGTTTTAAAAATTAATAATTTATAATTCTAATTTATAGGGTTGGATTTGTTTTCAATACACAGCAGTCTACCTGGATTGGTCTAATATTGATAACAACATAATTTTATTATATATATATATTTTTATAAAATATATAGGGTCCATTTGGCATGCCCGTTTGGACTAATTTAGTCATATAGGACAAAATTGATTATTTTAACCAAATAGAATAAAATATAATATCCAAACTATAATCATTTCATTTTTTCTCTTACAAAAGTCAAAAAAATTAAAAAATTTATCCCAGGCTAAAAAATCCAAAAAACTAAAAAGCCAACCCACATTCCAAAGGAAGACATAACAAGAATAATTAAAAAATAGGTCGTTTATTTTTTTTCATAAAATATAATTAAATTACATAGTTTCAATTATTGAATCAGTCTAATTATTTCTAGTTCAAAAAAAAGAATCTAATTATTTCTATAAATAATTTATCTATAAAGACTTAAAACATTAACCGATCAAATAATTAAGTGTGACTTGTGATAAATACATGAGTCTAGACAATTAATTAGAGAAAGACCCAACTCAAATTTAAAAACAATCCACCACGGGGTTGGTAGTGGAGTGGAAATGTGTCTTTCTTCTACAAAATTGAGCAGGGTTTGACTTTTAGGATGCGACTCGCGGCCTGTTTTTAAACGGTGAAATTGACTGGGTTATACTCCACTCGTAATTTTACTTTTTGTGTTGGGGGTTGGTGCATTCTTCTTTTGCCTAAGTGGTGAGTCTTTTCTTTAAGTTGAATTGAATACATTTAGTAATCAGTTATCTCGGACCTTGAACCCACAAATGTTATGACATTCTTACAAATCATTTTTTTTTTTTTGCATTCAATTTTTTTTTTTTTTTTTAAAAAAAAAACTCCTTTCTTAGTTTCAAAATAATTAACTTTTTGTTAATTTATAAATTATTCTTAGTGCCAAAACTATAGGCACAAAGTTCAAAAAACAATTTCAATATCAATTACAATAGATGATGTCTCAAACTTTTGGGAAAAGAAACAAAGATAAGTGTACGGTTGCTCTCTCAACCTAGTGCTCCATTTTGGCCATTATATGTATATGTATATATATATATATATATACGATAAATTATAAATATATTTTTTAAGATTTGTTTAAATTATAAATTATCTCTTATGATTTGAAAAATTATAAATACCTCTGTGTCATAATTTTTTTTATTTAACAGAATTAATTAAAAAAATAAATTTATAATTGATCTCCTATCCAATAATAAAATTATTTAAAGTATTAATTAAAACATGTTTTTAAGATAATTAAAAACTATTAATTGACTTGTTGATTCATTAATAAAAATGGTGATTTGTTATGAAATTAGAAATCTCATGAAATATAATTTTCAGAATCACAAGGGGCGATTCATATTTTAATCAAATATCAGGGGATGTATTTGTAATTTATCATAAAAAAATTTAGCAAAAAATTTAAAATAATCAATTATAAATTATAAATGAAATTTGATTTATAATATTAGATAAAAGTAAACATGTAACCATTGTAAAACATAAGTAAAAAAATAATAGATATTTATCTTTATCTTTATAATGGAAATTCACATTAGAGTAGCAGCAATCCTTTAAATGGTATATTAATTTTATTAATAAATCTAACTACTAGAATGTTGAAAAAAAAAAACACACACACACACTTATGGACAAGAATGTTGATAATTATTAGCTAATCTCAAGGCATGAAGCATCCAAATAATTAACTTATTCTCACTCAACATTAAGAACAAGAAGAACAACATTAATCTTTTCACCTAACGGTCTTGAGAGCGCCAAGGTCAAGTATTAAAAATTGGATTCATTACACATAATATATATATATATATATGAGAGGGAAAAATATAGTCTGGATTGGGCCATGTGTTAATGTACACCTAAACCTACTCCACTAAACCTAACCCACTACACCACTCCACCTCCACTTCACCTACTCCACTACACACTCCACTTCACCTACTACACCACTCCACCTCCACTTCACCTACTCCACTACACACTCCACTTCACCTACTCCACCACTCCACCTCCACTTCACATCTCCATCTCCTATATAATGTACATACAATACATCAAAATATATATCAATCAATAATACATCAGTTTTTCTTACACCATGGTAATACTAGGCAAATTGTGGGCCGAACAAATTTTGGCCATGGTATCCCG